TTATTATTATTATTATTATTATTATTATTATTATTATTATTATTATTATTATTATTATTATTATTATTATTATTATTATTATTATTATTATTATTATTATTATTGTTATTATTATTATTATTATTATTATTATTATTATTGTTATTATTATTGTTATTCCTATATTATTATTACAAACGCTACTATTCTAATGAGCCGCCACCCTTACATAGCCAGCTCCTCTCCGCCCACGAGCCATCTGTGACATAGGCTTGAAAATGAATATGTTTTGCTGTTTCGTAGTACTCTTGACGAGAGACATGGCTAAAGCGAATTTGACTTTCTGGTTGGTTTTCCTACCGTTCGTATTATATTATGATTTTACTTATGCGCACGTAAATTTTAACTTTGTTTTATTACAAGATTATCGTAAGTATATCGACACCATGCTAAAGGTGCGTCCATGTAGCCAAGACTATAATTTACTTGGCTTAGTGAAGATATTCCAAGACTATTCATTTTGGGACAGTGAAATGAAAATTGCCACCAACGGTGCAAATTACCTTACCTCGATGTGGCGGTTTAAGGACGAGAAAGGTCGTTCCTTGATCGAGAACGAAGAGGCCATATACACTTTAGCAAAGACTATAGCAATGTCGTCTGATCGAATCTTCGGTTCGGCTGTATGCTTCGATGAAAATAAATTCCAAGTTAAACGGCAATTTTGTCCATACGCTTTTAAGAATAGCCGTAGGAATCGAGTAATAATAGTCCGTGACTTGGGAAGATTTAACGACTATCTCACGAACTCCATTTGGACTACACTGGAACATAGATCATTTAACATTTCCAATTTCACCTGGTGGCGTGTTGGCAAAACATTTCCTTCAAAGGCCACGCAGCTCAAACAGAGCACTGCATATTTCGATACAAACTTTGATAACCTTGCCACTAAGAAGAGAATTAACGTATCTGGAAATGGGAAATACTTTAATATCACATCAAATTATATTCCCATAAACTACGGAAAATGGACGTCGCCGTATTACGATTGTGTTGGTGGAAAGACATGGATGATTACTTATTTGGTACCGTTTTACGACGAAACTGACACATTTTTGTAAGTATATTTGTAGTGATATAAAATTAATAGTGGATTGCTAGTTCGGTTCGCCAGGTCGAACCTGAATCACTTCTTGCAAGTAAAGACACAAATCGAATAGAAATAAAAGTTCTGTACAGCTGATTAAATTTTGATATATTGCATGCATTATATTTGCAATTTTAAGAGCGCGTGCGAAGACTGTAGGAAATATGTAGCTATACAGGAAATATTAAACAAAACTCTCTGGAACCGATGGCCACATGCATGTATTTTTGCAATTCATTATAATATGCATGCTTCACTTTGCTGCGCTCTTCCAAGCTGCGCTCTACGACGGTGGTCGTTAAGTTCTATATACCCTCTAGACTTAAAAGCACTCTTCCAAAACAATACAAAAATAAGAATGATCACGAAATATAGATATATCAGTTACGTATCTGTTCAAACCAACAATGATAATAGAATTTTCCATTGTTTAACTTGACATCTTTAGCTTTTTGGAAATTATACAGTTTTAAGATGGGAAATGGAACAATTTTGCTAGGCCTGTTTTTAAAGTCGCCAACATGCAGGTGTAATTAATTATTTGTTTGGCTTAAAATTATGCCATTCTGCTTTAGCAATCGACTGAAGCAATATTATCCCTAGTAACATAACACCTTGTAAATAGATTATAATTAGCTTATATATATTCACATCTCATAATTTTATTTAGTCTGAAGATGTCTTAAGTTAAAGACGAAACGTTACAATTAAAATTCTTTACAATCTTTTAAAACTGTTTTAATGGCTTTGTTAAAAGTTATATGTTGGGCTCTCATATTTATTATACGAACTCGTTTTCCGCCTGGCAAATCTCTGGCAAGGATAGAAAATGGTATGTATTTGTAATACTCTATTTTACATTTGTACGTTCAAGTGGCAGATGTTTCTTTTGGAAGAATATGTATTTGCGTTATGGATATGGGGCTAAATCTACTGCTGCATGCATGTGGTTCGGTGGAATGCGCTTCTGAGAAAATTTTGAATATTTATCTTCACTGAAAGCCTGGAAATGCGCATTTTAGTAGCTAGTCCTGTAGTCGTATAATTTAATCGCTTACTTAATTATATCTAAAAATGTGTTGATCAGCAACAGCTATTCAAGATATGATGAAATGCCTTTCATGCGAGATTTCATGGCATACAAATTAATACTGATCATAAATGCATGCATTTATTTTCCGACAATAAATCGTTGCAGGTGACTTGCATTAACATGCAAGCTAGTAGTGTAATGCATTTACTGAAATATTATTAAAGCTTAATGTCTGTGTACTTTTACTGCACAGCAGAGCGTAAACTTATATTTGACATGTTCAAGGGCCTTGATGCTTTCAAGTTTACCTGCCACTCTGCAATCATTCATATTATGCACATTAATCCCGAACAGGTGATGTGAAGAAATTGTCATTCCAAGCAAGCGTTGTGCGAACTAAATGCATGCCGACATAATCCCGGGCGTAAGCCCGGCGCGAGGGTACTATAATCCCCCCGGCTATTTATCCCCGAGCCGACGGCGCGAAGCGCCGTGCGAGGGTACTAATCCCCCCCGGCTATTTACACCCGGGGAAACGAAAGCATTAGCGGAGTCTAAAGTTCATCAAATATCGCGGGCGTGGGTGACCAACCGTGGGTGGTCATCATCACTGATCTCAAATATATGGCGGACTGTCATGAATGCGGATACTGATTGGTCTAATTTAAAATTTACATTATAACGACTGCATGACGACAGCGAAATAGCAAACATTTCTTGATTTGATGATTGATTTTTTACTCGCATTTTTTCAAGATTTTGTAACTTTCAAAAGGGTTCTCATAAAGAAAGGGCGAAAGAATGCGCTAAAAGAAGGGAGCTGACGTTAACGAAGGTAAGTTTGTTTTAAATATTGATAATGATTTTATAATGTATTTAAAACCCGACGGCCTTTGCGTATATGAAACAACTAAACAGGACAGCATATAATTTCAGTGTATCTTTAATACAACATGAGCTCCACCTTTTAATTTACTATATGAGTAAATTCTTAAACACGTCCGAATTTATCATTATGATAAATTCGCGGCACATTTTGAATTTATCAATAGAGTTAATCATAAAACCGCAAGCATTGCACAAGGTTTCCCGTTATAAATGTAATGGCACTAAAAGGCAGGCTGGCCGCTCAGGGGTGGGAAGTTTTTCAAAATTTTAAAAAAAATAGTTTTTAAAAAAGTTTTAAAAAGTTTTAAAAAAGTTTTGAAAAGCAAGAAAAGTTTAAAAAGTTAGATTTTTAAAAAATTTAAAAAAATTAAAAAATTTAAAAAGTTAAAAAAATTAGGGTTAGGGTTAGGGGTTAGTGGTTAGGGTAGGGGTTGGGGTTAGGGTTAGTGTTAGGTGCCGCGAATTTATTATTATGATAAATTCAAAATTTGCCGCGAATTTATCATAATGATATATTCGGACGTGTTTAAGAATTTACTCATATAGTAAATTCAAAGGTGGAGCTCATGCTGCTTTAATATTGATTCCCTTTTTATTATATCGAATTCTTTAAATAAAAAAGAAAGCAAAGTTATTTGCAAGCGAGAATTTGAAATAATTTTATTGCAAACTCAAAGTTTATCGATAAAGTAATTTAATTATAAAAGGCTGTTTAGTTTTATAAAGAACACTTTAAAACGTTTTACGAAGCGTTTGTGGTTGAATTTTACCTTGAATTGAAGCCTATATTACGTATAATAACATACCTAACACATATATGTTGAGAAATTGATAATTTAGTAATTAAAAGTGATATTTTTACGAGATTTGTAAGAATATTCTTAAAAAATTATCGTGTTACCATGACAACTGCTCTGGATACTTCATGTTCGAAAAATACAATGGTTTTGTCAGCAAGGCGAGGGTTTCTGCATGCATGTATTTTCTAGTATCCGTGGAAAAGAAAGCATTAGCGAAGTCTAAAGTTCATCAATTATCGCCGGCGTGGGTCACTGTGCGTGGGTGGTCATCCTCACTGATCTCAAAAATATGGCGGATTGTCATGAATAGCGAACACTGATTGTTCAAATTTAAAATCTGCATTATAACGATTGCATGACGACAGCGAAATAGCAAACATTTCTTGATTTGATGATTTCTTGCAAAATTAATATATTTCATTTTTGCAGAGTTTGTGAATTTCAAAAGCTTTTTAAGAAAAAAAGGCGAAAGAATCGGCTAAAAGAAGGGAGCAAACGCGCCGACGATAACGAAGGTAAGTTTGTTTTAAATATTAATGTAATGAGAATTGTTTGCTTTATAATTGCTTTAAAAGCCGATCGTATAAACGTTGCGTATAATTATAAACGAAACAAGACAGCGTATAATTTCAGTGTAGCTATATATATATATTATTATTGGTTACCATTTTTTTATTATATTAATTAAATTTTTTAAATAAAACAAAAAGCAAAGTTATTTGCACGCGAGAATTTAAATTAAATAATTTTATTTCAAACTCAAAGTTTATCGATGAAGTCGAAAGCAGATTAGTTTTATCGTGGATTGTAAAATATTTTACACTTTAAAATGTTTTGCGAAGCGTATGTGGTTAATTTTACCTTAAATTGAAGCTTATATTATGTATAATAACATACCTAACAAACATATATATATATATATATATATATATATATATATATATATATATATATATATATATATATATATATATATATATTTATATATATATATATATATATATATATATATATATACGCACTGATATTTTCCGTATTCACTATAGTGAAATATGAAATCATATCTTACGCGGGAACGTCTCGCGCGTTACCCACGCTAATTCCCGCCATTTTGCCGTTTCTGTTTTGAATATACAATATGACAACTTCTCGACATTTTGTTGATGTTTTCGACGCTGATTTGGCAAGGTTTTCTGAAGAAAATGAAAACACAAAAAGGAAGACTAATTAGTCCTATTTGGCGATCTTCAGCGACTATTTAGCCTCGATTTAATAGCAAGCGGAGAGACATAAACATTGTTGGCGTACGGTGAGCTACAAAACAAAAAAACAAAACTTGAATAAACTAATAATGTCATACGTTTTGTTGCTTTTGCTTCAACTTTTATCCATATAATAAAAAGAACATTTCACGGTGGCTTTGGAAATATGACTTTTATTTTCTCGTGTTGAAAGTCCAGCTAAACAACATGAAGCAAAGGTGATTAAGTGCAGAAGTACGAAGCACTTAAATAGGGAGGAACTCTCGCGGGACCTAAACGATACGAATTGGAATGAAATTTTTTCACATGATACTAATGAACGGTACGCCAATTGGAAAAGTTAGTTCATGGAAGTAATAGACAGACATATGCCTGTGAAGAAAATGAGAGTGAGAAAGAAAGACGTCCCATACATGAATGCAGAATGGAAAGAGGCAATACGTTAGAGAAGAAAATATGCGAAGAAATTTAGCAAGGATAGAAAGTGTGAAACGTGGGAATTAATGAAAAGGTGGAGAAATGAAGCAACACGACTAAGGAGAAAGGCCATTAAGAGCTACTGGAATGAAATATCACTTGAATTAAATGAAAACCCAAGGAAATTCTTTTCTACGTTTATGCCATTCATTAGTTCAAAGGGACAAAAGGAGACGAACGAGATCCATTTGAATATTGAAGGCAGAATAGAACAAGATCAGCGAATAGTGGCAGAACTAGTATTCGCAAGTAGTAATATAGAGGCCGTTCGGGCCGGATTTTTGGGGCGGCGTGGGGCGGCGTGGGGCGGCGTGGGGCGGCGTGGGGCGGCGTGGGGCGGCGTGGGGCGGCGCAGGGCGGGGCGGGGCGGCGCATCACCATTAGCATACGTCATAATTATATGCAATGACGTCACGCGAGCGAGCTTAAACACGATCAGGTGAAACTTGCTGACTACGCATTTTTTAGCGTCCCTCCACGTGTATGATACAATAGTTAGGGATATACACAAGAG